GCCTGGCCCAGGGCCAGGCCTCCTCCACACACCACCATATTAGCACTTGGTCTTTCAGAGGCAGTGAGCGGGCGACAGGGGAGCAAGAGTTTGGGTGTCAGGAATGAGCCCCATTTTTTTTATTATTATTTTTTTTGTCAGTTGTGTGGCTTGAACTCCAGGCCTGAGCACTGTCTCTGAGTCCTTTTGCTCAAGGCTGCAGTTCTGCCACTATGAACCACAGCACCGCTTCTGGCTTTTCCAGCCGTGTGTATCCTGCCCCCACTTCCAGACTTCTGAGCTCCCCCACCCCTTCACCCTGCCTCAGCCCCCAGGACAGTCTGGACCCTGGACTTTGAAAGAAGTGGCCCTCCAGGGCTGGGAAGGTGGCTCAGTGGTAGAGCGCTTGCCTTGTAGGCATGAGGCCCTAGGTTCGATTCCTCAGCACCACATAAGCAAAAAAAGCTGGAAGGGGCGCTGTGGCTCAAGTGGTAGAGCGCTCGCCTTGAGCTGAAGAGCTGAGGGACAGCGCCCAGGCCCAGAGTTCAGGCCCATGATTGACAAAAAATAACAAATTAAAAAAAAAAAAAAGTGGCCTTCCCTCTGGCCTGTTTCAGTTGGTGAACGGATGCAGGCTTCCCACAGTAGAAGTGCTGGGGAGTGACCTGCTCACGGAGCATTCTCTGGCATGGAAGGCTCCAAACCATGACCTCTGAGACTTGAACTCAGGGATCACTCTCTAAGCACTTAATTTTTAAAAAATTATTAATTAGCAGGGCGCTGGTGGCTCCCGCCTGTCATCCTAGCTCCTCAGGAAGCTGAGATCTGAGGATCACGGTTCAAAGTTAGCTTGAGCAGGAAAGTCTACGAGACTCTCATTTCCAATGAACCACCAGAAAAGAGAAAGTGGCGCTGTGGCTCAAAGTGTTAGCTTTGAGCAAAACAGGTCATGGACAAGCACCTAGGCCGTGAGTTCAAGCCCCATGACTGGTAAAAGAAAAAAGGTTACAATTTCATACGCCAAGCATTTTTATCCCTTAGCATTTTCTCAAGGCTGGCGTTCTACCGCGTGAGCCACCCCTTCCACTTCTGGCTTTTTGCTGGCCAGTTAGAGATCAGAGTCTCATGGACTTTCCTGTCTGGGCTGGTTTCAAATGGAAACCCTCGGATCAGCTTCCTGAGTAGCTCGTTGTGCTACAGGTGCCTGCCGCCCAGGTCTTTGGGAAGGACGGTTGTAAATACTTAGCCAGATGCGTGTCTGCTCCACTGTGCCATCTGTGCTACCATGGAGTCGAGGGTGGCCTGCCCTCTCTCCTGCAGGCCCCTCCCTTCCCCAGGGGCCCACACAGGCAGCAAGAATTCACGCAGAGCAGAGCCTTTTCAGCACTGGCTGCTTTACTGAACGACTACTTCGCCCCCAACCCCGCTCCGCCTCCCCACATGAACATGACGGGGCTCCCGGGTGGGAGGCGCTGACTCCGGCCCGGGCGGCTGAGGGCCCTGGGGTCCCGGGGAGGGGGGGGGCAGGAAGTCCAGCCCACTCAGGCCGGGGGGAGCGGTGAGGTGGGCTGGGGGGCGGGTCCCCGCATCTGTCTTTTGCTCCAGGGGAGCCGGAGCCCCCAGAGCAGGGATAGGCCGAAGGGAGCGGCTCAAACGCTACTGGACCAAATGGGGGTCTGGTGCGGGAGCCCCGCCGCTGCCCCGCCGCTCCGGCCACGCAGGCCGCACTGGCCCGGGGAGGGGCTCCGCGCCCCGCACCCCGACCCACACCCGACCCACACCCAGGCCCCTGGAATGTCTGGCGGAACCCGGCGGGCGGGGCCGCAGTGGGCGGGGCCTCCGAGGGGGTGGGTCCTCCACGTCGCTACTGATTGGCCGCCTCGCAGGCGTCTATCCAATCGCTGTACACGTCCACGGGTTCTGACAGATCTGAGATGCGGAGGTCAAGGGCGACTGGTACCCCGGGGGCCCCGGTCCCTACCGGCACACAGGCGGGGAACAGCGGCTGGAAGGACCTCCGGACCCCTGGGGCAGCCACCCTGCCGCGGCAGCCCTGGCCCCCCGCCCCCCGGCCCCCTCCATTTGTCCAGACTTTCAAGGATACAGGTGATGGGGGTCTGAAACTCCTCGAGGCACACGGTACAAGAGATGACTCCGGTGTTGCGGGCACGGTCCCTGGAACGGGAGGGGAGGGGCTGTGAGCGAGGCGCCCCAGGCCTGGGGACCCCGGGAGCGGGGAGGCCTGGGGGGAGGCCGTGGGGGCCCCACTCACATTTTCACATCGCAAGACTTCTCGTGGTTACAGAAGGGGCAGGTGAACTGCGTCTCCAGGGTGCCTGTCATCTTCTTTTTGGGAGGTGGCTTCCGTTTTGACTTTCTGCGTCCCATGGCTGCAGGTGGGTACAACCTGGAGAGGTCAGAAGGGTAAAGGTCAGACACAGACTAGGGAAGGGGCCCCAACAGTGATCCAGGGAGAAGAAAACGCTGCCCGGATCTGTCTCTGAGAAACAAGGTTCTGGGTCCCCCCACACACTCTGGGAAGAAGGGGAGAGAGCAGACTTGAACTCTGGTTCCCCACCAGTGCAGAATGACTGTGTGACCCCAGACAGGGGGCGCAGACTCTCTGTGCTCAGGGTTCCTCTTCTTTAAGACAAAGCATGTAGCTGGGCGTGATGGCTCCGCCTGTCATCCTAGCTACTCAGGAGGCTAAGATCTAAGGATCATTCATGGTTCAGCCAGCCTGGGCAGGAAAGTCTGGGCGACTCATCTCCAATGAACCACCAGAAAACTGGAAGTGGCCCTGTGGCTCCAGTGGTAGAGCGCTAGCCTTGAGCTGAAGAGCTGAGGGACAGCGCCCAGACCCAGAGTTCAAGCCCCACAACCGAGAGACAAAGCATTTGTAAGCTGGGTGCTGGTGCTCACACCTGCAACCCCAGCTACTTAGAAGGCAAAGATCTGGGAATCAGAGCAGGAAGCCAGCGTGGGGAGGACAGCCTGAGACTCTTATCTCCAATCAAGCACCAAAAAACTGGAAGTAGAGCTGTGGTTCAAGTGGTAGAGTGCCAGCCTTGAGCAAAAAAGCTTAAAGAGGGCTGGGAAGGTGGCTCAGTGGTAGAGGGCTTGCCTAACATGCATGAAGCCCTGGGTTCGATTCCTCAGTATCACTGGAAGTGGAGCAGTAGCTCAATTGACAGACTGCTAGCCTTGAGCAAAAGAAGCTCAGGGACAGAGCCCAGGCCCAGCCTTCAAGCTCCAGGACTGGCAAGAGAAAACAAAAACAAGGGGCTGGGAAGGTGGCTCAGTGGTAGAGCGCTTGCCTTGCATGC